CGGCGGGCCCCCCCCTTGGTTGCCCGCTGGGTCCCCTTCGCGGCTGTGGCTGCTGCCAACTGGGTCAACATCCCGATGATGAGGCAGCAGTAAGTGTCCGTGCATGGCTGAGGTGCCCCAAGAGGCACAGGGGGGAATTTTGGGATAAAAATAGCCATTATTGGGTCTGGTCTGCAAGATCCCTAAGACCCTGGCAGCTTCAGAGCTCTTCAGCATGCAGCCGTGGGAGAGCAGCCCCAGCCTGAAGTCTTGGCGCTGGCTGGGAGCTGAAAGCACCTACAGGATTTTGGGACATTCCCAGCACCTATCACCCTTGCACCTCTGAACATCTGGCTCCCCTTCCCGCTGGGATGGAGGGATGCTGGGGGCTGTGAGCCCTGCTCAGATAAGGGGAAAGCTCCCGGCTGCTCCCGCCACCAAGCAAACCTAGTTCCCTCCTGATCCTGCGGCTCTAGCATTTGGGGACTGGCACTGGGGCTCCTCCCAGCACTGAGACCCCCTAGATGTGTCCCACGCTTTGTGCTGCTTGGGGTCCTCCATGGGTCGCGGCACAGGGGGTGGGATGCCCCATGGATGGGGAGAAGGGGAGCTGCAGCCGGGCGCCGCTGGGCTCCACCACCCCCCGGGGGCCTGGCTTCACCCCCTCGGCTGCCCCCAGACACGCTCCGGGGTCCTCGGTGGGCGTCTGTCCCGCCGGGACGGCTGGACTCTGTTCACAGCTGTGCCCTGAAGATGGCAGCATTGCCCGGGCGAGGGACCGCGCACCCTGGGGTGACGGAGCCAGGTCCCCTCTGCCTGGTGGCGCCGGGGTGGCATCAACGGCATCATGGTGACAGACGGGGATGGCAACGAGCTCGGGCACTCCAGGGTGAGTCCTCGTGGGATGGCAGGCACTCATGTCGCCCGCTGGGGCGAGGGGCCGAGGCGGGCACGGCGCGGGCTCACCGGCTGCTCTCTCTTTCAGAGGGCGGCAGCGAAGGGCATCGTGCAGGTCATCATCTCTAGGATCACCATGGCAGCGCCGGGCATGAGTGAGTGCCGGGCCGGAGGGACGGGCAGCTGGTCCGCGGCATGTCTGTGCCCTTCCCGGGAAGAGCTGCCTGGCGGGGGATGCGGGACCCTCCACCTTGCCCTCCTCTGCCTCAGTTTCCCCTCTGCATAGAAGAGGGGAGGCGGCCACCACATCCCTGGGCTCGTTTGGTCTCGTCTCACTGATGGAGCTGGCCAAAATGATCTCGCCGTCCTGCCGTTTCCATCCGAGCGCCTGGCCTCAGCCGTCCCTGCCCCAGCCCACAGCCCGTGGGGGATGCAGGGCGTTCCCATGGCAGTCGGCCCCCATGAGGCCACGTCTTGTGCTCTCTGGCCCTGGCTCCTCATCCTGCCATCCAGGATCCGTTTGCCCTTCCCAAGGCCCTTGGTGTGCCACAGAGGAGCAAGCCAGGAGGGACAGGAGCATGGCCCAGCACGTGGCAGGCACCGTGCTGCCTCTGCTGATGGATGGGTGGGGAGGCCCGTGCCAGATCCCCACAGCGAGCAGTCGCCCAGTGGCCCCCAGCATGACCAGCTGCTGCCCCAGCCCCTGGGAGCTGCAGGCAGGGACGGGCAGGTCCTGCTGGGGTGGCCCTGCAGGCTGCTTGCGGGCCCTGACCTCTTCTCTCTGTGCCTAGTTATTCTGCCAATCATCATGGAGCGGCTGGGGAAATTCCCCTTCATGAAGGTGAGCCCAAGTTCTTCCTCCCGCCGCCGTTTTCCAGGGGACCCTGCAGGGCCCCAGCCCTGCTCCCCCAGCCCCTCCATGGCCTTCAGCAGCCAAGATGCTGAGGATGAAACACGAGGGTTTGCTGAGCCCAGGGACTTCCCAGTGTCATTTGCTTCCTGTTCAATTCATGTTGCCCTGAAGGACTCTTAGGTGACCAGGGGAGGCCGCGGGAACCCTGGGGGCGTTGGGCATTCGGCTCTGCCGTGTGGAGCATCGCCCACCCTGCTTGCCTCCGTGAGCTGGGCTTGCCGCGCGGCCGCAGTTGCTGGCTCAGGACTCACTCCATGCTGTTCCCTTGCAGAGGATCCGGGTTCTCCATGGGCCTTTGCAAGTGCTGCTGTCTGGGGGCTTGTGAGTATCTCGTTGCTGGTCCCTGCATCGTGGCTCTGGCTCCAAGAAGAAAAACCCTTTTCCCAGCAAGGGATTTGAAAGCTGTTTCCCTTTCCTCCCTGGGCCTTCTCCAGTCATCGGGAGCAAGAGGGTGGGAGCAGCGTCTCCTGGGCTGAGGTCCCCACGGCCTGGGGATTGGACCTGCCACGATCCCCAGCTCTGTGCAGGGGCTGAGCCCTGCTCAGCACTGCTGCCCCGTGGTGCTGTGGGCGCTAACGCTCGGCTCTTCTCTGTCCTGCAGCCTCCTGTTCATGGTGCCGGCAGCCTGTGCCCTGTTTCCGCAGAGATGGTACCTGTCCTGCTGCTTCCCCCTCCTACGCGGAAAGTCAGGATCCTTCCTCCTCCCTGAGCTCTTGCCTGCCCATCTTGGGGGAGATGTGGTGGGCAGCTGCCCTTCAAGCCGAGGCGCTGCCTGCCTTCCCACCCAGGGCAGTCGGCGAGCGCGTTGCATCCCCTGCTCTGCACGGTCTGTGCTGGGAGCAATGGGACCCCCAGCGCCGCGGGCAGGTCTCTTCCCCCGGCATTGGGAGCGGGGTACGGCAGGGGTCGGCAGGGGGTCTCTGAAGTGGGCCG